TTAGTGGCATTGTTCACTAAGTAAATAGCCTTGATAAAGTTCTTAACCTTTGAAGTAAAAAGTTGGTCATATCCAAAAACATTTACCTGAAAAAAGTTCAGAGTTTTCTTCTTTTAAATTATAATTTACATTTAAAAACCGATTTAATTGTTTTTCGTTGTAGTTTAGTAGCTTTATTTGAACTCTAGGTTATATGCATACGTACATTAAATAAAATACAATTCATGCCTTCTCCTTCTTCATCCTTCATGCTACAGAAACAAAGAAACTAAAATGATAAATACAAAATACTGCTAATTAAAAACAGAACAACATCTTTAATGTATCTTACGCTACAATTTTCTCACCTACTCATTTTTTTTTTCTTTTTTTAACTTAAATGTGTATCCTTATTAAATGCAAAACAGCAATTAACTAAACTTACAACTACCCTCTTCTATGCACACTACATATAGACAATAATTACTTCTTTCGCTTATATTTTTAAAGAAGTACATACATCACCTTAGTTTCCAACTCCTTACTTTTTTTAAAGACTTCCATTAACTTCCTTTGATCGCAGTTACATCCTCCCAACTCCTGTATCAGAGATTCATTTTCATCTTCACAAATTCTGCAGCTTCTTTCTTCCTCTTTCATCTTATATTTACATTATCTACTTTGCGATTGATCCCATTCCTTTTTCTCCTATTTTTTCAGATTTATTCGGCCCTCCTCTTATTTGTTTCATCCCTTTCTAATTTCGAAAATCTTTCTTAATAAGATCAGTCCCTCTCCACGTCCGTTTATTATTTTTTTGCATTCTCCCAGATCGTTCCTTTCATCACATACCCCCGTTACATGCATCACCTGTCACCCCTCTCGTCATCCAATACTTTCATTACGTACCCTAAACCTTACTATTACGTTCACATTTTTGTTACATTTCATATACTCCGGCTTACTACCACCCTGCCAATGATTCCATAACAAAGGCTTCGTGCATTCCACATACTTCGACGGTACCTCAATTTTTCTCAGATTATCACTCCCTTAAAACTTCCTTTCTTTATCGCATTCTATTTTTTGTACCAATTTTTAAGATTCTCTTCCTTCAACTTCCCTTATTATGTTTCCCTCCTTTAACTTGTTCAATTTCATCACACATTTAACTATTTCTTCCTACCAACCACCACATAATCCAGTGTACGTATATCTAATGAAATTTAAAATTCACTTTATGTGTTTTTTATATAAGTTCTCCACTTGTTTCTGCTTTTTCCATCCCTATATTTCCACCCCATAAAAAGCTATATTTCTAACAATCTTTACCTCCTTTCTCAATCAGTTTTACAACCGACAGTATCAATTTAAAATTATAGAAATAAGTATTGCACAAGAAATTGTAAACAGCTAATTGTACGAAATTGTAAGATTTGGAGGGTATGTTAAACAATAGCAATAAAACAAAATTGATACTTAATATAAAAAACTAGGTATATGATAAGAAAGTTTCACCATTTTTGAAAATCGCCAAGAATGATGCACTGTTAAAGTACTGGAACATTTTATTTTAAATCTAATTTTTAATATCTAACGTTCATTTCTAATTTTTAACAGTTTCACAAAATAAAATTTTGCAGATGTATTTCGTCACTATGATTGCTTATTTCGGGGTTCACAGTGTTAAAAATGTTAATTTTGAACAAAAAATGTAGAAAACGAGACACATCTGCAAAATTTTATTAAGTGAAACTGTTAAAAATTAGTAGTGAAAAAAAAAATAAACGTTAGATAATAAAAATCAATTTAAAAATAAAGAGGTTTAACTATTAAAACTATTTTAAAGAGTTGTGAAACTTAATTATTTGTGATTTAATTTTTAGTATTTAGCATCTATTTTATTTCATTGCTACATTATAGCTTCATTAAACTATATATATGTTTAATAGCTTCATTTAATTAAATTTTGCAAATATGTCTCATATTTATTTCTTGTACAATTACTTCTTTAACGGTGTATTTCTCCAACTTCCTTAAGGATGTTTGGGAGGTATGTCAAAACGCTACGAGACAAATAAAAATTTGGAAGAACGTTCCTCATTCACTTCTAAAACTCCTGTAAAAATTACAAATCGGTTCACTAGACCGTTAAAAAGTTATTGAAATTTTAAAAAATTGTAATTTTACACGTCATTTTATGGAGATTCGTTAACCGAACAGATTAAATTTATTTTTATTAACAGAAAAAAAGCTACCAGAAATTTCAAACTTTTATAATAAGTAACTTGAACTCTGGAGAATCACTTTAGCGTAAGGTTATTCAAATTCACTAAATGGTTATCGAGGAAAAAATGAAAAATTAGCTGAAAATCTCGTTTTTACTTGATAATATAATGATAATATTTATAATTGTCTGAAATAAATGCAATTTTAAAGTTTTAATTATTATTTAAACATATTAAAATGTATTACGCTCATTATTAATAGATATTGAAACTATATTTTTTTGTTTCGAAGTTGAAATGAAGGCATATTCATTGCCAAAAGTCAGTTAAAAATATTCCATATTATTCGTTATTTCTTATTTTATTCAAAGTTTTTGGTCAAATTCCAAATTTTCTCTCAAACCGTATACTTTTTTTTGTTACTATATAGTATTTATTTACCTCATGGTATGCTGCAAAACCTAATTAATCACGAATTTCTAATTTTATGTACTCTTGTCTCCGATTGTACCTCCCAAACATCCTTAAGGCAAAGGGAGTGCTGTGGTCTAACTGAGGTTGGTCCAGGTGTTTAAAACGCAGATTCTTTTGTTTAAAAATTATGGTAATCTTAGATATTGTGGATAAATCGAAGCTTTTTTATTATTATGGATACACCAATCCAGTCGTGTATAATACATATTAAAATTTTCTTAACTAATTATATGACGCTGCTTTGATGAAATTTTCGTTATTTAATTGCTAATAATTCTGAATTCATTTCTCTTAATGCCCAATTCAGACAAAATTCAAAGTCACAAATATATTGTTGTTAAATAATAAATTAAGCTTCGGTATTACCTAAATCTATTATAGAATTTTTTGTATTATTCGTTATCTGCAAAAAACTCCACGGAAATAATGACCTTTATAAAAACGTGCTCGTTTATATTCGACAGCCGATCTGTTATTATTATACTCGTTAACAAATTTACTCTAATAGTTTAGTGGCATTGTTCTTCAACGGTGTCATGTGTAAATGTATATCACAATTTTGTGCATGATATGGTTAAATCCTTATCGGAAACAAAACTTTAAAAGTTAAAGACTTTATTAAGTGGACATTTAAGCTTTAGATGATAGTAAATATTAAAATTATTTCTATTTTGAAAAAATGTGAACGTGAAATTGATCACAGTCTCTCTCTGGAAAATTACCAACATGGTAGGTAGGCGTTGTCTTTTTTTCAATAGATTTTATGTTTTAAATAAATTACCAGAAATGGTATAGTACATGCATGTTATTTATTGATAAAATAGGTTGCATTTATTAATTTTCACCAAATTTAATTGCTGAAAATTTTAGATAAATGTATGTATTTATAGGTACCTATATCAAATGTAAGTTTAAAACAAAGCTTTTAATTGTAAGTGTAGTTGTTTTAAGACAAAATGGTGTTTAATGTGTAAGTAATTTTTGAAAAAATTGTTGGTTCAGTCTTCTCTCTTCAGCAGTCATATTATCATATTTTATGCAAACCTCAATCCCTTTCAGCTTTCTACTATTTTCAGCCACCTGTAGCAATTCTTCTCACTCCTCAATTTTTACCCATTTACCATTTTAAGCTTAGTTGACGTGCTCACAAAAATTATTGTTTAGTATTAACCAACTATTTCTTTTAATATTTTCGTCAGTCTAAATTTAAGAAATTTTGGGAGTTGCAGTGTGTACGTTCGAATAAAAAATACTAAATAATAATAAACTTGTATGGGATGCATTTGCAAAATTTTATTTCATGAAGCTGTCAAAAGGTAGCTATGAAACAAAAAAAATAAAAATGTGAGTAATTGATAAACTTACCCTTGTTTCCACAACCCGGCAAATCGATCCTAAGTTTCTGTCGCAGCTCGATCCATCGTCCATCCAACTTCCGGCAAACGTACAGCCTTCAATATAATAAAAAAAATCAATTTTACAAATGTTGCATATTTAGAGAAAAAGTTCAAATGTCTAAAGTTTGGGCCAAAGTTTACACGTGCGTTTGTTTATGATAAACAAAAATACAATTAAAAGTACCTATCTATTAAAAGTTATATGTAAAAAATTAGGGTGAATACAACTAATAAATAACATTCAACATGCGAAATATAAAAGCATACGAAAAGAGAGAAATAAAAAATAGTAAGTTTAGTTTCAGATTTACTAAAGCTAGGAAGTACTTTCAAAATGAAAAAAATCAAAATGTGAGTAATTGATAAACTTACCCTTGTTGCCACAACCCGGCAGGTCGATCCTACGTTTCTGTCGCAGCTCGGTCAATCATCCATTTAACTTCCGTAAGACGTAAACAACCTTCAACAAAATAAAAAATCAATTGTACAAGACCTTTTTCAAGACCTGTATATTTAGAGAAAAAGTTCAAATTACCAAAGTTTGGTCCAAAGTTTAAACGTGCGTTTGTTTATGATAAACAAAAATACAATTGAAGGTATCTATGAAAAGTTATATGTAAAGAAGTATTAAGTTCAATCTCTTCATTTTTAAAGAACATTTAAAATGAAAATTTTGATGTGAGTATTTGAATAACCTACCCTTGTTGCCATAACCCGACAGGTCGATCCTACGTTTCTGTCGCAGCTCGATCCATCATCCATCCAACTCCCGGAAAACGTAAACAGCCTTCAACAAAATAAAAAATCAATTTTATAGACCTATAAAATAAGAAATCTTAAAAGCTCAAAGTTTGCTTTTCAATGTTCCAAAATAAATCTGAACGCGTCAAAAATTGCACGGACATTTTATTTTTCACGATTTCACAAAAACCAACGTTACCTACATGCGACTCTGTAGCTCGGATGTTTGAAGACGTATGTAAAAAAAACGGTTAAACATTTAAAAATGTAATTTAATCTCTATTGTAACTTCATTTTCAAACGAAAAAAAAAGAAGACAAAATTCTACATTAAATTACAAATACTAAAAATTTCTAAAGCTGTGAAATGTAGCTTTGTGANTGAAATTTATTGGAAAAATGTTCATCGATTGCCTCTTATTCGGAATCCTGGAGGATGATTAGTGACATGGATTATCTTAAAACCGTTTGATATTCTTTTGAAGTAACTGATCAACGAAACGTACCTACCTATCCCTCTTATTAGTGATAAGCAAAGCAACACCCAGATGAAGACTGTCCCAGTATTACTCTTGGTGTTGCTCAAATACTTCCAGTTTTGGTTTTGTTGTCATATCTCGCCCGTGATTTTATTCTTGTGAGTTAAGTCTTGGTCTAGCTCATTTAATCTGATACTTAAATCTTAAATAATTTTTCTAAACACAAATATTTCTAATTACCGATACAATAATTATCTTAAATACTGAAATTTTTTGTCATACGTAAAAGGTTGTGACGACTTTCTGTGGCATAATTAGAGGGGGGAGAGCGGAGAGGATTGGGTGAACATCCCCGTGAAGTGTTCAAGAGTGGGAAAATTTTTCATTTTTACATAATAATTTTTTTAAATTTTGAACGCAACGTTTTTAAAGAGATTACTATACCTCCTAGAACAAAGTTGCATAGTTGATTTTTTATTTGTAAAATTCAAAATACGTTTTTGTCGTTAAAAGTTTTGCTAGTAGCACCTATCAAACATTATATCAAATGATGAATGAATGTTGCTCACATTGGCCATTAAAGGTATTAGAAGCCTAAAAACGAGACAAGGAGACATTCCATGTATGTCCTGTCCACTAATTTTTTACCTAACTAAAGAGAGCCTAAAAAATTCTAAACTCCTTGAAAATGGATAATCAAAAATATTGGATCGATATTGTTTTCCTGGTTCAAAGTCATGGTCCATGAAATTTAGAAGTTCCAAGTTGATATCTGCCCCTGTCGAATCACCACTTATCGTACTTTTAGCAAGGAACTACGAAATTCTATGAATTATGACAAAACAGCCCGTAAAACAATTGATCGAATTAAACTGAAAACTACAAGATATTGTGGTGTGCTAATAAATGCCTATAATCCAAAATTCTTTTTGTCGTTTTGACTCGACAAACTTTACTTATTAGATGAACCTAAAGCTAAAGAAACTAAAGATTCTATTTCATTCTCTTATTATAACGTGTAAAAGATCAGAAACAAATGTTGATTTTACATCAATAAAATTATTTGTGTCTCTTTTCCAATTAAAACGGCTGACAAAGGCAATTAAGGAAGCATATACAAAACAATTATTTGTTGCTTAATGGAAAAAAACTATAACATAAAGACAGAAAAACTATATATTAATAATTTCAAACAGAAAAATATGAATCATATTTAATTTTCGCAGCTAGTCATATAGTGCAAACACCATTTTGTGTCTAGAAAAACTCCAATATTTAAGAAATGNTTTTGTGTTTGGCAACTTTCCAATTTTATTTGATTACTATCTATTTCTATGCATTTATTTATTTAATTTTTGAACTATATATATGTATTTAAATTTCTTTCTTCTGAAAACATTCTTAAAAGTCTTCGTTCGATTTACTTTAAATAAACTTTCGTTTCTTTTAATAATTACCAAATTATTTTAATTTAATTCAGATCTTTTTGCTTTTTTATTTCTCAAGACGGAACATGGAACCAGTCAAAACTCTACACTCATCAGTTGGCCGGAACGCTTATTAAAAATGGTAAGTAAACTCAAAAAACGTCTTAAGAGTTGAGATGTTATCTGTTTTCTTCAAATATGTATATTTTCTTTCATATTCCTTTGGGAAGTCGTGGTTTTCTACCATTTATCACTCAAGGTAAAAGAATTAATGAAAAATAACTGAACATTTTAAATCTTTTGCATGCAAACATATACGTAAATAAATAAAAATGAGTTCATTTTCCCTCATTTTGTATTTATTTCTTTGTTTAAGTTGACTTGATTTTTAATCTACATTAAAATTAGATCAGACAGTAAAGCTTCGCATTCATTTATTAACATGTCGGACAGGGACGTAGCTAGTATTTATTTTTGCAATGGTTAAGCGTTAAGATTTTATGTTTGATATATGTAGCTAAAATATACATCTAAATTATTTATTTAAAATTTAAAACTAACCCCCGTTATCTACTGGGTTAGTAAATCAACTTGCAACGGTTTAAATAAGGGTATCAATAATAAATACTTAAAATTATTTATTTAAAATTTAAAACTAACCCCCGTTATCTACTGGGTTAGTAAATCAACTTGCAACGGTTTAAATAGCGGTATCAATAATAAATACTTACTTGGGGTTATTTAAAATCTCTAAAAGCAATTAAGACAGGGTGATAAGCAGAGATGTGATTTATTTGAAATACTTGCATTTAAAATGCAAATACAAAATAAAAAATACATATATTTAGCTTGCATTTGGGGGATGATGGGGCCGTTTGCCACTCCACCCCCAGCTACGTCCCTGTTGTCAAACAACTGCTTTTTGACAACAGGGACGTATGTTGTCAAAAAGCAGTTGTTGAATAAATTGTTATCTAAAGTTGTATTTGTTTTTGTCAGTTATTTATATTACAGTGGCGGATCAGTTTTAAGGGTTGTTAGAAATGAATAAAATTATGAACATGGAACGGAAATGGTAAGCAGGACACATCGAAATTAGTGAAATTTATTGGAAAAATGTTCATCGATTGCCTCAATTTCACTAGCTAGAACTACCAACATGCCTTTGAATTGTGGAATTGTTCAACTCTCCTACATATAAGGTAAGAGAAAAAAAGTTTTTACTTTTTGTATTTTATTTAGAAAAAAAAATTTTTGATCCGAATTTGTAAACATGAACCCCAGCAGAAATAAATTTACTAGTATGTAATGTAGAAGTAGTAGAAAAAATTAAGAAACTTCAAATAATTTTTAAAGAAACATGTCAAAATTGGGATTAACAAGTTACCTAATAAATTCTACTATTTCTACTGCAAATTCAGTCATTTACAATCGAAAANTTCGTTCGATTTACTTTAAATAAACTTTCGTTTCTTTTAATAATTACCAAATTATTTTAATTTAATTCAGATCTTTTTGCTTTTTTATTTCTCAAGACGGAACATGGAACCAGTCAAAACTCTACACTCATCAGTTGGCCGGAACGCTTATTAAAAATGGTAAGTAAACTCAAAAAACGTCTTAAGAGTTGAGATGTTATCTGTTTTCTTCAAATATGTATATTTTCTTTCATATTCCTTTGGGAAGTCATGGCTTTCTACAATTTTTCACTCAAGGTAAAAGAATTAATGAGAATAACTGGAACATTTTTAATCTTTTAAGTATATACATTCATGTAAATAAATATGAGTTCATTTTTTCTCACTTTATATTTAGTTTTCTGTTTAAGTTTAATTGATTTGTGATCGACATTGAAATGATTTCTGATAGTAAATCATAGCATTAATTTATTATTTAACGTGTCGGACAGGGACGTAGCTAGTATTTATTTTTGCATTAGCTGAAGGTGGGCTACACCGTTGAAGATTTTAAGTTTCATAATTCTAAAGTAATATCTAAAGTAAGTATCTTAATTATTTATGTAAAATTGAAAACTACCCCCTGCTATCTACTGGTTTAGTAGGTCAACTTGCAACAGTTTAAATAGCGGTATCAGTAATAAATTATCGAAGGAATTCAAGATCTCAAAGAGCGATTACATAGGTGATGAGGAGGTTTTCCACCCCGGACCACCCCTAGCTACGTCTCTGTTGTCAAAAAGCAGTTGTTGAATAAATTGTTATCCAAAGTTGTTGTATTTGTTTTTCATAATCAAAAGGTCGTCAGACCTAAGATTGCTAGGACACGGACTTCCACTCCTTCCTATCCTGAGCTAATCTTCAAATTTTTTTTAATTAGTTATTTATATTACAGTGACTGGGATCAGTTTGAAGGATTGTTAGAAATGAATAAAGTTATAAACGTGGAACGGAAATTGTAAGCATCGAAATTTATTGGAAAAATGTTCATCGATTGCCTCATACTCTGTGGTATTCGATTACTAACATGCCTTTGAATTATGGAACTGTTCAACTCTTGCATATAAGGTAACAAAAAGAAGTTTTTATTTTTGTATATTATTTAGAAATGAAATTTTTGATCCGAATTTGTAAACATGAAATCCCAGCAGAAATAAATTTACTATAGTATGTAATGTAGTAGTAGTAATAATCAAGAAACTTGAAATAATTTTTAAAGAAACATGTCAAAATTGGGATTTTGAGACGTTTTTGTTCACAGTGTTTGTTTGTTTGATTGTTGACTATATTATTGACTTATTGTAGTGAATCAGATTTGTAAATTCTAATTGTTTATTTGTAGACCAGAAAATGATCAAAAACAATGATCGAAACGTCGTCATTGTAATGTCACAAAAATAAAGAGTATTACAAATAAAATTTGGTCTGTAATTGACGAAATTAACTTCGTTTTCTTTTTATTTGGATACGAATACAGACGAGATTAGCTTCTTAACACACAAAATTTTCATTTAGAAATGTATAATTTTTTGTATAAATGTGTAAACGGAAATGAGTTAACTCAACAAAATTTTGATTAACTAGCCATTTCCATTTCTTTATCCAATTAATGTGTTCGTCTCTTTCATAGTAATTTTAAAGTAGCAGGTAACTATCATATCATTACACCTGAATTAGTCAGTTAATAATGTTTGGAATGTTTTACTTTAGTATTTGGTTAATTTTCACAATTTATAATTTTGTAATTGTGGTTGGGTACAAAACTCCATTTAGATTATACTTTGGTATTGGATTTGCATAAATGATAAATGTTAATTAATTTAGGTTTATTTAAGTACCTAAATCCAAAAAACAATTAAAATTTTTGGACTTTTTGACGCATTCAGAAAATAAATTGCTGATTTTTAGAGTAATGACATTGGATTTTGAAAATAGATTTAGGTAATTTATTAATTGGAACTTATTTTAGGAGACTGCAACTAGAGAAGAAAATACCCATCGAAACCTCTGAAATATCTTGGAAATATAGTTAGTTCAAATTTGACAGTAACCATTATTTCCTAATATCGAATTGCGTCCTTCGCCTATGTTCTTTCATCCATTCATCCAAGGTAATAAGATGATTAACTCATTCTTCTCCTTTTCTATTTTTATCATTTGACTTATTATTTTTTTTATTTTCCCTTCTTTCACCGTCAGACCTTGTCTATATACACTTTTTAAATTACTAGATACTGTTTCTTAGTACTTTCATCTTTTCTTTTACAGTCGCGGTCCTCACTCGATACACTCCTTTACTTTCCAGACTTAAACCTACTTTGTTTTTTTTTTTTTCTAATTCTCTCACCAATTTTTATTCTATTATTCCTTTCCTGTATCTTCCCTATTTCTTTTATTTCATCTCTTACCATATTATTAACTTATTTAAATGTCTTTCTTTTTTAATTTTCAACCATTAAAGATGTGCAAAATAGTATATACAATACAAATAAAATACAAAATGCAAATACTTTTTTGATTTGTTGCTAAAAAAGTTGTGAAAAAAGTGGTGATTTGTCAGGTGCTTATATCAATTTGGAACTTCAACATTCCATGAACCGTAACAATCAACCCGAAGTTTCTCTTCAGTTAAAGAATTAGAATGCATTCGTGGAATATCTCTTTGTCCCCTTTTGAAGCTTTTAATACTTTCAATGGTCAATATGACCAACTTTTATTCATCATTTTATATAATATTTGATCGGTGATACTAGCAAAACTTTTAACGGCAAAAATGTTATTTTGCATTTTACAAATAGAAAATACGTTTGGAAAAGTATTTTGAATAAAATACAAAATGCTTTTCTCATAAAAGCATTTAAATGCAATGTAAGAACATGTATTTTTTATTTTGTATTTGCATTTTAAATGCATGTATTTCAAGTAAATCACGTCTCTGGCAACTATTAATGCATTCCTCTTATATTTCACTTATTTCTTTTTATTTTAATATCTTCTTTATAACATCATAACATCAATTATCATTTATTTCTGCTTCCATTCCTTTGGTTCGTTTTAAGTTTAATTTTCGTCTATAATTCTTTATCTTTCTCCAATTTACATTTTTTCCTTAATTGCGTATTTTTATATCTTTTAATACCTACCTATATTTTCTATACTTAAATTGTTTATGTTCCAACCAAATTAAAATCCTAAATACATTTACCTTTTAATAAATTAATTCTTTTTTCACATAACTCTTTCTTTGTGACCTTTTGTTTTTAATGAATTTGTTGACATCTTCTATGCGAAGTCCAAAAGCCTAAAGAAGACCTATTCAATAATCGTTTCTTTCAATTTTGTCTTTTTTCCAATTTTTTCCATGTAAATAATAATCACGGACGGAATTATACCTTGAAATGTTCTATTTAGTTAAACAATTACATTCACAAACAAAAAAAAACTGTGAAGTATTACATTTCAATACAGAGCTATTGTTTTTGGCTTTATCCATTCTGTTTAGTTCTTACTTATTTTAATATCTGCATTGAAGGAAACAAAAAAGCAAACAGAATCTTTCAAAAATTATGTCGTTTTCTTATTACTAGACTTTATTAAAGCAAAGTTATTTTCTACATTCCCTCTTGTTCCTGCTCCCAATATTTTACATCCCGTAGACTTATTCCCTGTGTTAAATTTTTCTAGCACTTTTTCTAATCCCTTACCAATCCTTCTACACAATGTTCCTTAACTCCTTTATTTTTTTTAGATCCTCTCCCTTTATCATTTCCCTGCATCTGTTCCTCATCTATTCCCCTATATTGGCCCCTAAATCGCTCCCTCATCTGTACCTGATTGATTTTTAAGTTCTTCAAAACGTTATTTCTCTCTTTATCATATCTATTTTTCGTCCCTACTTCCAAACCTTCTTCCTCTATTTTTCCTTCCTGATTTTCCTTTCTTCCAGTCTTCCCAACCTCACCTCATTTTACTATCCTTTTAATCGCTTCTTCCCAAATCCTTCCACATTTAGTCTCCCTTCTTATTGCATAATCTGGCATACTTTTGCATTAACTTTTTATTATTATCGTACATATATCATCTCGATTATTTAATAATATATTTTTAATTTAATTTAGTGTTACACATTGAAAGTTTTGGTAATAAAGGCAACTACTGGAAATGTTTTTTTTTTTGTTATAGATTTTTTAGTGTTACCTGCTTCTTCAAGTCGTCATGAAGTTCTACCAACTTCCACTGTCATATGGCCTGAATTCTTTTCCTGGGGGCGCTTACCACTTTATTTGATTTTTTTTTTTTATTAATTGAGCATAGTGAGAAAAAGTGGATTTATTGAATATGTATTGTGTATAGTATCAAGTCGTTCATTTAAGTTGTTTTGGTATATTTACTGACTTTCAGTATAAACAGTTGAATTTCAAATTTGAATACCTACTTACCTTCTCATTGAAATTTTTTGTTTAACATGCTTGTTACGTTTTGCTTTCTTTATTGATTTTTAATTGAGATTATTTAAATTAATTAAGTTTAAAATTTAAATT